TGTGTGTGTGTGTGTGTGTGTAGATATGTACATACCGGGCAGCTCTGTTTGACGATATATATACTATTGACCAAGAGTGCAAACACGTGAAGTAGAAGTCGAAATAAGATGAGCGAAGAAGAGAAGAAATGAACGAAGAAGTTCTTCTTTGTTTTAGTGTATTCTTATTTCTTTCAGTGCTTTACAATTTTTTTACACGAAACAAAGGATAAAAGTCAAAAAACACAGACACATTGAAATCATTCAATTTCTCAGTCTTCTCCACTCCTCCACTGCGCCTCTCATACATATTGTCACACTGTGAATCGGAGCGCAAAGGCGGAAAAAGACAAAACAAGGACAGGAAAAGAAGGAAGGAAGGAAAGCCCCACCGGTTCATCAACTCTTACGTACAAGGCCAGCCAACAGAGCTGCCCGGTAAACCGTAGGCAGAGAGGGAGAAGGGGACAACAAACGAGGGGATATATAGTATAATATATAATATAATATATTGTCACATATATATCGTCACAAACAGAACTGCTATATATATATATTGTCAAATAGAACTGCCCGGTAAACCGTGTCACACTGTGAATCGGAGCGCGAAGGCGGAAAAAAGCAAAACAAGGAAAGGAAAAGAAGTAAGGAAGGAAAGCCCTACCTGTTCATCACCTCCTACGTACAAGGCCAGCCACGTGGATGACAGGTTGAGCGCTGGCTGACCCCATCCCCGTGTGACGATATACATATATATCGTCACAAAGATATCAGAGCGAAAAGGAAGACAATTAAAAAATGTTTTTTTTTTTAAATCTATATATATCGTCACAAAGATATCCGAGCGCAAAAGCAAAAAAAAAGAAGAAAAAAATCACCTCATTTTTTATCTTCTAACTTACAACTTCCCTGTTCAGAACCTCTTGCGCACAAGGCCGCCCACGTGGATGTAGGCTGAGCGGCGGCTGACCCCACCGCCGTGTGTCATATCGACCCACTTGCACACAGCCAAAAGGCAAAGAGGCAAAGAAAGAAGAAGGGAACAGCCAAATATAGATATATGTGTGCGAGGAGAGCAGCGGTGAGCATCGTAATAGGGTGGCGTAATTGGGTAGTAGAGTAACGTGGAAG